TAGAGACATGAATCCCCTGTGAGGTCTTGACCTCAGACCACAACATACAGCAAGACCAGCATAGGTATTTTGCCAGAGCCTTCAGTGCTTTACACTCTATATTTTTATGGCACACACATGCAAGTGTGGCACCACAACTCAACAATTTGACAAGAGCTGGAAGAAACTCTCTGGGAGCCCTCTAGTGCCCTTCCTCACCTCCCAGCCCAGAGACTGTTAAGTCCTCTCAATGAAACAGTTTTTGTGCCTTGGCCTGCCACAAGTGTGAGTATCTGGAGCTGGGTAGAGTCTGCCACTGTCCAGGGAGCAATGGATAGCTATCTGAGTGTGCTATCATATCCTGTGTGTTACAGCTGCATTTCTGTGTGCACCTGCACATCTATTTCAGTACCACAGCTACCCTTATTTTCCCTTTTGTCCAAAACCCTGTCTGGATTGACACTGGATGCACATTGTTAATGTTGTGGAGGGAAAAGGGGCACCATAGGTACAAGAGAAGCTTTCAGAGTAACAAGGTTATTACTATACATTTGGACACAGCTCAGCTATCAACAGATAGTTACAGCAATTTTATAATTTTAACCTACTACTGATATTTAGCATACTTACTATAGATATGATTATTGCAATTATCTCAATTTAAAGTGGTCAAGAGGAACCACTGAGCATTGCTTTTTCTCCCACTTCTTTTATTCTGGCATTTCCTTCCCTAAATCATTCTGAAAATAACCTAAAGCAAATGAGTGCAAAACAAGTGTGAAGAAGCAACGATTACAGTATGGTAAGTAATCTGAATTCTGATGGATAATGTCTGCAACAGGGAACACTGTAAATGACTGAGACGTGGACTCAGACTGGCAGGGAATCTGAATCATTTATTCAAAGAAACAAGCTGGTTTTATACACTTCCTCAAGAAACAGTATTTCCCTATATGGCAATTCTCACTAAGCGACCTATCACACATTACCATATCAGCAACTTGCTTTCTTAATGTTCCTGTACGGGATGATCACCTGCTATTCAGGGGTCTGTTAGCTTCCAGCAGGCTCCTCTCCATAAGAGTCTGCCACATGGTACCTCCTCCTGCTCTAGTCAGGTGGAGACAAGCTTCTCTGTGCTGCCATGTGCTTCTCTGGGCTGCCATGGTGTTCTGCACATGTCCCACAGCCTGTACCTCAATTCTATCCTATCTTTCCCCAAAGAACAGAAATAAAACACTATAAAAAAGAAGGAGGATAGAAAAAACAGCAATTAACTGACCAAATTGTGCTGTTCCAGGATCCATAACATCTCAAACATACAAAAAACACACAAGGACTTCTAACTGGCTTCAATGTCTCAAATATGAAAGGAATCATTAACAGAATACATTTCTGAATACCTTGCATATATAGTGAAAATTACTCAATATCATAAATTCCGGTGTGAAATTACAAATTTCAGTATACATAACCAAGTACAAATTTGTCTGCAAAGGAAACATCTCAGGGTGCAGCACAGTAAAGCACAGACTCAGCTTTATTTGTAGTTTTTTGTGTACTTCCCCCAAACCCAGAAGCATTTTTGAAGTCAAGGGTATGACAGGACGTTCTTCAATGGATTGACATTTAGATGCCTACACTGTGCAGAGGTGTTTTATATTAAGACATTTAATATTAAAAAGAGCAAGAGAGAACATACATATGCATCAGGGGGAAAAAAACCCAAACCAACAAACCATATCACTTTCTTTTTCTAAGATGGGCACCTAAGATAGTCAAATCCAAAATGCCCATTCACATTCATCTAGTTCCCCTACTCCAGTAACATAGCCTACGAACAGATCACTTCCCATGGAATTCAACCCTTACCATTCACAGAAAAGCAAAGTCCAGAATGGAATTAAGAACATCAACTCCCTGTTACTGTGCTGCTGATTGAGCAATTCCATGCTCAATCAATTGCCCAAGCAATTTAATCTTGATGCTGTGACTGCCACACATTTACAAGGCACTCTAATTCTCATTATGGGTTCTTGACCCATTATATAGAGCACTTAAAAATCCTGTATCCTCTCTTGTCTAACCTCATAAAGCCATTATTTAACTAACAAACCTCATATATCTTCTAGTTTCCTGGGGAAAAAACCCCAATGTTGTTTACTGTCGCTAACATTTATTTCTGTCACCTCGGCTAAAAAATATGTTTCTGTTACAATTAGCTGAGAATTGTTTTGGGAAAGAGGAAGATACTGTCTAACTTCCATGGTAGAAATTTTAATAAACAGCACCCTCAGGAGGATTAGAACTAACTTCCTTTACTGTTTGATTTTAAAAAAACCCCAACAAACAAACAAACCAAAAAACCCCAAAACAAAACACAAAAACAAAAACCCAAACAACAACAACAAAACCCCACAGTTGCTAAGCTACCACTTTTGAATACAGGCAGAATAATTTCCAAGGGTTGTTTAAGGTGTTTAACTACAGAGCAGATACTGTGAAGGAATTCAGGTATGCACTAATATCCCCTCATCACTGGCCCCTGAGGCATTTGTTCAGTTTAGTGTGAAACTGAGGATCACCAAGATCAAACAGGCAATCAGTCTCCATTATGAGGTGATCCTTTAAGGAGGTAGCTTTCGAAAGGGATGAGGAGACAGGCTGCTTCAGGGCTCCCTGCTGCTCTGCACATTTAGGAAAGTCGTGAGTAAAGCTAATGTAAAGAGAGTTCTTATGTTTGGATTTGAGGGTGAGGAGTCCCACGTCCATCCTGTTTGTGGGCTGAAGGCACGAGAGCACACCTGGACTATTTCCTTACACTACATTGGTATGATCCCCAGACAAACATTGTGGACATTTGGGAAGGAAGCATAACAATAATACCTCACTCTGGGTAATGGGAGGGTTGACTGGAAAGGCACATTGCTAGTGCCTTTCTTCCCCAGCACAGACAGGAGGTCACTAGCTGGGGGCCACTGCCAGGAAGAATACAGCCCACATCCCTGTAATCTCAGCCTAAGTGAGCCAAGTTGTCTTCGGAATCTTGAAGGAGAGCAACCTCATGTGGAATGTCTGTATCTAGTAGTGAAGAATGAAGATGATCTTAAAAATCATGTATCAGAACAAAAACTGAATGTGCTGAGGACAACCACAATTTGCATAGCATCAGAAAAATCACTCTGGTGCTTCATTCTGCCTTATGATGGAGGGTACATATGGATACATATTTTCTTTGCAGAAGTAACACAATCCAGATGTCTCTTCCCTCTTCCACTCATTCTTTCCAAATGAACATATATCAATACCACTAAAACTGATTTTATGGTGTTTTAGTCATAACTTCACTGAAAAAGAAGACTTCTAAAATACCAGAACACTCAATGTTAAATACAGCTGTAATTTACAGAGTGAATAAATTTGATTCCCCTTTGGATATTTCTCTCCAATGTGTTGCCAATGCTCAGATACCAGAAATTAGATCCTTGATTGTAGGTTTAAAAAGAATCTTGCAATAATAAAATAAAACCTTGAGAATGAAAAGGCAATTAGATAATTCAGAATAGTTATTTTACACTTAATTTAGTAAACCAACTTCCAAGGGGTATGTGTTGGGTTCTCACTCTGCTGCAAACATACCGGCAAACGCTGTTATACAGCCTTCTTGTTTTAATAGTTAATGTTTTCTATGTCTATCAGCAATTGAGAGACAGGGACATCCAAGTTGAGATCAGAAGCCGATTTTATTTAGTATATAAGGCTTTTATATTGGATTTTACTTGTATGGCACTTATATAGGGTTCTATTTTTGGTAACAATTTTCCATTGGTTACACATTTTTCATGACATCAGTTACCTGCTAATCCTTACAAAGTTTCACAATGTACCTCTTGGTCACTTCTACCCCAGGGAGCAGTTATCCGTGTCTGTCTCTCCCATGGTTTCTGTTTGATTAGGCCTAAGATACTAGGCACCTTCATCAGTTCCATTATGGTGTCTGTTTTATTCCCCATATATGTGCTTATCAATTTTTAGGAGAATACTCATGTGTTAAAAAAATATTCTTGATTTTTAAAAACTCTCTGTGATCTAAGGAAGCTTAAGCAAGGATAGCCTTCTGACAAGCAGCCAGATTCACATCTAATGCTGTTTCTGAAGAGTGTAAATTCCTAGAGATGGAGTATCCAGCCAGATACAGATGTGACTAGGACCATTAGAGAGGACATTTAATCCATAAGCCAAAAGGAAGCTACTGTGGAAACTCAGTAGTATTTTCACAGTTGCACTTTGGCATGAAGTACTATTTTTAAATCACTTTCAAAAGATATTTTTGTTATTTGATAAGTATATACTGAAAAAAACTTGGGCATAAATAACACATATATGGTCATTATTCCCTGGAACAACAGTAAACAGCTGCTTATCTTTGACTATCCTACTTGGCTGTAGCATTAACATAGAAATAAAAACTTTCAAGATCACATTACTAAAAGCTCCACAAATTATCTGTTATATAGACATGAATGGTTCTGGTCCCATTATTCTGAGATAATTAATTTCTTTCTCTTCTCCTTTCTTAGAATGTCTGGCCAATTTTCTGACATGAAAGCCTTATTCAAACATACTAATTGTTTAGTTAACTTACCATGTACAGCAATTTTGGCTAATTATTTTAAAATCCATATATGTACTTCTCTATATATAGGCTCCACATGAATAATACAGGCTAACATATAGTAGTTATCTTCTATTTGCTTTACTAGTTTTATTTGATATAAAGTGGGGAGGGAATTTTTGCATAGCTGTTAATTAAGGTTTCTTTTTCACCCTTCCCGAGTAGTACAATATACTGGGGTAGAAATATAGCTTAATCTACATTTCACACTCAACCATATTCCTTTTTATGCTGTAGCTAACAAAGGTGTTCATGAATCAGCTGAAAAACTCAGTTAATAGTTGGATGACACTTTTCTACAACTGACAGCAATCCTCAGTTAAAAATGCCAAACAGGAAGAGCACATCTGTGAAAAACAAGCCTCTTAAACTGAACGAATGAGTAACCATGATGTGTGGGTTGTGCTTTCTACACAGCAACGTCTGGGAAGACCCTTCTGTGAAAAGCTATCTGAGAACAATTGGGGATGCTTTGGTGCTCCTACTCGCCTCCCACAGCCCTTTGTATCAGCAGCTCAGTGGAGACAGTCTGACAGCAAGATTCTTTTGTTATTTGAAATTTCAGGTACTGTAACTCAGCTCAGACCTGCACAGATGTATCTCTTCTGAGTGGCTATGTGTTTCTACAGAAGAGAGAAATTTATCAATGGCTGGCTCTCAGTGTGCAGCATGAATTGTTATCTACCAGTTATCTCAACTAAATCACTCTCTGCTAAGAAACCTTACACCAAGCAGCACCCTCATTTCCACATTAACTAAAGCTCTACAGCACCTACCTTAAGCCCTACCTATGCTGTGCATAAAGACCTATGATGCATGCAGTTCATCTCCCAGTTAGTTGCAAGAGTGAGGAGAACCTGTGCTTAAAGCACCTCTAGGTTCGCCAATACCATGCTGAAAAGGTGCAAGTCCATAAAATTGGAAATTCCAAACTCAAAGTTCACCTTCATATCCAAATCTTAGTGTAAAAGGCATTTCCCCATCATTCTCATAAGCCCATCAGAGAGACGCTGGATATGAATATAAAAACACAGAAGCATGAACATGAGCAAGTAATTCTCAACTTCCAAGATGCAGTCAGCTGCAAACAATCACCCCTCCCTTTTTTGCACCCATATTATTAAGGAGTAACTAAAAGTATTTGCAGTACTTCAGTCACCATATCAGAGACAGCTGCAGAAAGACAGGGCAAGGACATTATCACTGGCAAATTCTCATTGCTCTTTTTTCTCAAGTCACACATCAATATTTGCATAATTCAGCAACATAATCTCAAGGAACTGTCAGAGTTCATTCCTGAAAATAACCTCCTTTAACTGCTAGATTCAGGTCTCACGAGGCCAGAAGAGCAGATTGTAGCCATGCCAATCTTCTTTTATCAAGAACAGGGTTACACATTTTGGATAGATGTAACAAACACTTTCAATTTTTCAGAAAGTTCTCTCCCATCTCAGCAGAAGGCAAGTCCTCAAATACTTCAATGACATGAGAACAGGCTCTGATCTGCTCACTTTCCTTCTTGCCAAAGGACTACAGACTACAATTTTCCAAATATGTATGATCATTTTTTTCCCAACCACATAAAATCCCAGACACTGGAATCAGAGTCTGACAATAGTTAATTTATTTGGACTCCTTTTACCTCATCAACATGCTAGAGCTTCAGGCTGTAGCATAATCTCAGTATTTTTCTCTCCTGAAAAACAGATGCCACTAGGAGAAAATAACTTTGCGCTCTGCAGCAGTCGTCACATTCTCAAAGACAACTTCTTCTCATGCCTTTCATCTAAAAGGATTACCAAAATAGAATCTTTCTACAGACTCTTAGGAGTTCCCATCCATGGCTTTCGATACCTTGACACCATTTGCCCAGCTATAACTAAAGATGAAAAGAGGAAACACTGTTTAAAATCACCAAATCTCTGATGGGTTTTTGCCTATATGAGATCTGTGAATGTGTAGGAAAAGACTCTGCTTTACCAAAAAGATTGGGAATGTATATTATATTCAATGTCTTGCTTCAGTGATGAACTGTAGTGTCTAAAAGTCAACCATAGGTCTCTGAGGTACAACCCCCTGTTCTATTATTGCTACCTGTACGAAAGACTTGTATCCTACATTTCTGATTTCCCTACCTGTAAAAAAGTGAACAAATAACTGCTTAACATAAATGTTTCAACATCCATTGCCTTAGCATTTGCAAGCCTTAACAGGTCCTAGGATAGAGAGCATTCAACAAAAGCTGAAATTAATATTAGTTTAGATCATATTTTATGTAAAAAGTCCTATAGTTTTTACTTTTGAGGGACAACTGCAATTTCACTTCATCCATTTAGACTTATCCTAAAGTCATTATTTGTTATGATGCTGTTCCTGCCTTCAACTACAAAGAAAATGAGTATCCCTACCCTCTCACCGGCAGGATTAAGAGCCACAGAAAATGAATTATGGTTACTCTCACTGACAGGAGATCAGAAGAAAATTCATTTTCAAAAGTCTACCTAAGTCCAAGAAAGATTCTGCATCCTGTGTCTTCTTAATTCTTCTTCACAGGTACATAATGAAAGTACAAAATGTGTTTTTCTTCATCACCAGTCTGCACACTAAAAATATATGCTGCGACTATTGGTACCAAAGGCAGTATGTGAACTAGGTGGTGTAAAATAAGAAATGCAACATGATACATCACACATGATGTGCATTCACATAATTATTTTTTTTTTTATAAAGCATGTATTAAAAATATTGCCAGCACAGGTGGATCATTGTATATTTAGGACGAATAATAATCATTTTACTTATGTCTCTATTGATCTCCAAGTAAGTAGACTCTGTATAGTGTTCAGTAAGACTGTTACAAATACATTTTTACTAAATTGGTAGTAACCAGCTTCAATTTTTCCTTCAATTCATAATTTCATATTTCTTAACAGAACAGGTACCAGATGCAGCTACATAGGCTTTGGGTGAATTTAGTTTAAAAGACCCATAGATCCTGGTCTGACTGTTTTTAATGCCCTTTATCATTAGATTGATGGGCACACTCCCCTGCCTTGCTCAGAACTAAGCTGTTACCCAAGTATCCAAACACTGCTATCAGCTTTTGCCCACTAGACACTACAGAAGAAAGCATCCTTAAATCAGCTGAAGACAAGCCATTGTGGGATAAAAATATAAACTTGATGCCAATAAACTGTACAGTGCTTATACAGATCAATACCACACAATAGTGATCTCCAAGCAGCCTTCCAAAGAGCTAATATTTCAGTTTAGAGATCAGCATCCAGCTTCTAATCAAACATACTTCAAAATCACAGGCCATGTTAAAAGACGAATGGCAACACTGTTCTGAAACTATTCTGAAGATACGTTTTCTGAAGTTGTAGTGTAACTTACTTCCTACAGCTTCAGTGAAAAAAATGATTGTGTTCTCTATGATTCACGGTAATCAATATGTGAAAACTAAATAGTTTTCATATATATATGAATATATATTTATAGTCTCAACAAAAGCAAGAGAAGATTTGAGAACAAATACAAGATGAATAACAGCTGCAACTTTTCAACAGGTACCTCCAGGACACAATGCAAGCATGCTCCTTGTCATATACAGGGACATGCACAATGCAACTTGTTGGGAACATTCAGCATTGTTACCAACAAAGCACATGTGTTCTGATCCATTCTGTGTCCAGCCCTGAGTGCAAGAACACACGACTCAAGAGCCACATGTGCACTCCTGCCATGACAAACTGCCCAGTAAGATCCTTCACACAATAAAGAACTCCCTACATGGATCCAGGCTGTAGGTATATTGATTTAATTGTTTCTTTTTACAAATACCAAGAAAATAATGGCATGTTTCTCAAAGTTTACCTGGAGAACATGTCCTAATCCTTTTTCATGAATTGAAGCCTAAGGATTTCAACTTTGGTTTGGATTTTTTTTTTAATCTAGAAAGTCTTCATACGTTTAACAAAATACTTATGAGTATGAACTCAGGTGTTACTGTTATCAGTATTTCCTCTACCAAACTGGAGTAGATGCTTTGATGTATTAGATCATATATAACTTTCCATATTAAAAAAGTAGATGGAAATACCAACTTATATTTATTTTAATACAATTGTGCAATTTGAGGTTTATAGAGCCATGCATAAAGCATTTGTTATTCCACCTTTAGCAAAATTGATCCATTAACTATGGTCATATTTTTAGTACATAGTTTACTACAAAAGCATTAGGACACATTATGAATCATTCTGGCACTATGAGAGTTAAAAGAATACTATATATTTTTCAGGATTATTAATAGTTAGTGTCATTCACTAAATTAAAAAATCAAGTCTAACTAAGGTTAAAAATATCTGATGATACAGTACATAGATGATTGTAAATGTATATTAATGAAGCTTTACACAATTGACTGGATATATTTTCGTTAATCACTCACAAACCCATGCCAAACATATATCAAAGACTTCAGCTCCTTTTTCATCCAATCTTCTGGCATTTCATTATTATGGTTACCTGATTAATGGATGCAATAATATATGTGGCATGATATGATATGTTCACATTAAATTTTAATCAAATATTACTAAATTCAGAAAACATTAAGTAAATCATGACTGATGAGGCAATATTGCTGTACTGTTGTATTGATGGTTAGAGAAACTCACTATGGAGTTACAGATTAAGGAGGAGAAGTAAATCTTATGAGGAAATAGAAGTATCTCAAGTTCAACTAGTTGGTTCTTTTAAAATTGCCTTCCAGCCAAAGGTTGAATATTAGATCCATCAACAGTATTCAAGTGTCTGTAACTGATATGAATGCTTTGGATTTTTATAATGCAAGTCATCTCACTCTTTAAAAAGCATGGATTAACATACACTCTGCACAAGGGCCTTTACCAAAAGATGATCACCTGTGTAGGGAAAAGAAACCTTATTCCCCACTGCAGTTGGGAAAAAATTGCCTAGTTTATTTAAAACCTAGCTCTGACTTGAGCAGCAGAGTGTCAGACACATGGAATTCACTTGGTCTGTTTATTTTTACCTGAATTACACTTTTGTGGCTTTGCAGGAGGTGTGCAGAGAGACAGATTGGGGTTCAGCTTAGAGCTACAAATATAAGATGGTTTCATACTGGAACACCAGAATGCTGCAGATAGCAGCTTTCTTCTCAGCTTTACGCCAGTAGTTAACATGTTCATATGAAAATTTGGTACTCATATTTGGCCATAATTCTATATTGTATTTTTAACAAACAGGAAATAAAACACTGAACTGTCTTTTCACTGCTCTGTTTGAAGCTGAGAGAGACCTAATTGTATTCATCTAATTACATTTCCCACTCTAGTAAAATTTCAGATGGGATCTGCTTATGTTGTCCCACATATGCCTCGAATATCTATCTTTCCACTCCCATAACTGAAAGATTCAACTTACGATTTTGAGCATTACTCTTTATAACAAACAAGTTACTTATCCAGAGTAAAACTCCTCTTCTTGAGAGTTACGTGACTCTTTGGAAGCTAAACGATAAATCCTAAAAACCATACTGGAGGGACTACTAGCTAAAATATTGCAATGAAATATTTCAAATATTAACCTGTTCTGAAAAAACTTATTCCAAAGAATTTAGAGATCCTAGAAATAGATAGTCTGAGATGCTAATTCAAAACTTTCAGTGTAATAATCTGACTATTCTTGTATAGAATTTCGGTCCCATGGTACAGACTAAACAGGTCTCTTCTTTCATTTGTTTGTACCTTATATATAAAAATAAAAGACAGACAGTCTTGTCATATTACCATCTTTTTGGTAGACTCTTATGCCAAGATATCAGACACTGCTGGATCTAATTTTGATTATGTGAAGTAGCATGCAAGTCCTGCTTAACTGCATAATTAATTGTATTCACAAATGAATGTATTGCATAGTACTTGCCACAAGACCTTTCCAAAATGCTGTTTGCTTCATCATGCCTTGATCTCACTTTCAATCCCTTCCCTGGTCTTAAAAGTTTATGAGGGGTGTAAAACTGACTTGTATTATGTTTACCTGCATGGGAAATCTCAGTGCTATGGCACTGCAAAGAAATGCTACTAAATTCTGCAGCTATACTCTGAATATTAAGAGCAATATATATTTAACATGCTTAACTGGAATTTTTTTGACATCTTGCTTTCTGCTAGAAGTCATTCCATATAAAGGATTTCAAAGAAAAGCGTACAAATAATAAAGGCAGAAAAAGAAATTAAAATTCTTAAATGGATACAATGAAATTAAGGACCAACTGGGAAGGACCGTGCAGTACTGATGTATCTTGGTAGCTCAGTTGAGCTACTAGTTTACTACTGGTCAGATGTATGGTGCAAGGATTTCAGTTAAACACCTTCTTGCTTTGCTATAAAAGTGGGTTTGTGACTAGCTCATAAAACCTAATGTGAACAGTTATGAGAATAATGAAAGCAATTCACCAACTTATCTTCCTCCATACCCAGATAAGTTTTGTACAGTTCAAAGACTGAAAAGCACACAATTCCTGTGAGTGTAAGGCCTAATAAAAATGGAAGGATACATCCAAACTCACAGCTCTTATCTCAGGCAAACTTCCACTGGTGTTGGCATCTCGTGCAATATAGAGTTCAGACACTTCAAACAAAATTGCCTGGAAAGGTTTGATTCCCTCTCAATTGATTAATGAGTATATATTACTCAATCTTGCAGCTCTTGCTTTTCTCAGGAATGGAAACATACCAGAAGAAAAAAAAAAAAAAAAAAAAAAAAAAAAAAAAAAAAAAAAAAAAAGGTAGCTCAAGGTTCTCAGTAAACTTTAGATCAAAGCATGATGTTATGGTTCAGGCCTTCAAAATTCTGCAGGCTTCCACTAGAATGTTTACAAGATCCAGCATTTAATGACCCAACATAGCTTTTTAATCTACAGAGTTGTGTCAAATACCAGACCTTTTGTCAGAAAGTCAACTTGAAATGGGCCTATTTCTTTGCATTACAGTCTCAGAGAGGAAAAACAAAAGAATACAGAAAATTTTTGACTGAACACTCTGGATATGTGATGTTCACTGTATGTTGAAAATATGTCGATTTCTAAGGGCAAGGAAAGCAATAAAGTTCTGTCCAGAGAAACACAGCTGTGGAGTTAGGATAAGAGAGCCAGTTTAGATAAAGAGAATTGGTGCTGGTGATGCAAGAACAGAACCTTAACATCTTTTAGCAAAGTAAAGCTGCTAAACAAAACTACTTTTGTCCAAGCGTTTTAAATCCTAGAAGCCAAAGCTGAAAGGGTCCTTTACATTTGTGGATAGGGCCAGCTGAGAGAAGCATTATTCAGCTATGTGTGGCAGCACTTAGGAAGACAGTAACAGAAGCATAGATGCAGCTCAGGCCCTTTCAAAGATGAGCATGAATGGAGCAGCAGGTCTGAGCTGAGGAAATAGGGGCAGGCCTGTGGGTTATAGGAGATTTGTGGCAAGGGTGAGAAAGTGATGAAAGGGAGGGTGGTGGTTTTACAATAGATCTGTATGAGAGAAAATGTATTAAGAAATGTTAGGAAGAGACTTGGGGAAATAAAGCATATGTGAAAAGCACGTAAATCCACACATTTTGACTTCCCATCACTATCAGATGGCCAGTTCTTTTTGACCCCATTTTTGATGCCAAAAATATATCAGCCCTAGTCAATATAAAAGAAAAAGACAATATATCAACTGCTTATCACTATGCTCTCACAAAATACTGAAAACAGGAAGGTTGCTGCTCAGCTTAATACTGATGGTTTATGAACACAGTTTTCATGGTCTCTTGCTCCTGGACAAAGTCATGCAAAGGAATACTTAACCTTTCACCATTCTCACCAACTCCTTTAACTAAGTGAGTTGTTCTGAGCAAAGAAATCACATATAAATATAATTAGTTACTTGGAACCTGATCTGAAGCCTAATGAAATCAGCATAAGGCTTACAGAGAGAATGAGCTATAAGGAAAATATTAGTGTGATTGCTGTGGGCAAAACTACTTTCAGATCTAAGCAAAGAATTTAACTATTTTATTCTGGAAGCAATGAGAAAATATCTTTTTGATTCTAAAACTAAAATAAGACACCTAATTAATTCTAGAGCACCATAGTCATATACATTACTTCTTAGTGTGCATGAATCCAATAGTTTCTTTTTGAAACAGGAATATTTAAGAGGCATTTAAGTGACTGTGGATCCTCATTTCAGTAAATACATGTGAATGCATACATTGTGTTTAAATATAATAAACACAGCTAAAATCATGCATCTGGGTCAATCCTCTGTATATTATCAGGATTATGAAAATTTAGTTTTTCTTATCTTTCTCAATAAATGGTCTATGTATAGACAAATGGAAATTTATTCAGATGTGGTCTTGTTGTATTCTTGCTTTTTAACTCACGGGTTTTTTCCTCCCTGCAAATTTGACTGATTTCAAATTCTGGCAGTTACTCTGGTAGCTAAGAAAAGTGCCAAACTGTGGTTGATGTCTTTTAAGCTGTGCTTAAGTTCTTTCAGAGACAAAATTCTCATGCCAAAGCATTGTAATTGAAAGTTTTTGGCCCATTTTAATGACTTGTTCTTTTGGTTCTTATTGCTGACCACATGTAATTATAAAGGAAAAGGTCTCTGAGGACCTTGAGAAGGAAAAATCCAAATAGACACAAAAGGAGTAAAGGCGACTGGAAAAGGTTTCGATTAATTTATACCTTCTTCAAGATTTCACTGTCCTGAACCTCCCAGTTCTCTGAATGAAGTTCCCTCAGACCCAGTTGTCAAAGCCCTCCTTCATCCATTGCCTTGCCCACAGCTCCTCTCAGGCATTCTCCAGAGGCAACCCAAAGAGACGCAGCATATCCAGGGGGAAATCCTAAAATCTGATTATTCTGAAAAATCTGACAAATGGAAA